GTAATTAAAATGATTGAATAAGCATTATGGTAAATCTTGTGCATGTCTTCAATTAAGTTTAAAGTAATGATAATGATTGGACAATTATACCTGCAGTGTAGGGTTGACATGTTGGTGTTTCAATGGTGATGCAACCCTACAGGGGCTTGTTTGAATTCATTTTATAATTTGAAACCAGCAACCCTACAGGGGCTTGTTTGAATTCATTTGATAGGTTCAAATCCAACAGAGGCTCAACCCTACACTAAATAATTTTTAAAATTTTTTTGTTCTAGTTTCCATCTTTTTTTTAAATGAACAACACTGTTTTTGTTGAGCATTAATTTTTAAGCAGTTGCTTGGTACAATTTTGAAAAATATTAATTTTCTTAATTTTTAGGTAATCCTATTTAGGTAATCCTGAAAGTGCATCCAAGGCAGTTGAATCGTATACTATTGAAAATAAGAAAAATAAACAATATTTGTTAAAAATAAGATTAAATCTATATTTAACAGAAATATAATTTGACAAGAGTTTGAAATCTTGTATTCATTACAGGAGGCCTAAAAGAAGACAAGAGAGTTAAACAATTAATTGTATTATTATGAACAAGTGTGATGCTGAAACATTTTTGCTATAATGAAGTTATAATGTGATTAAGAAACTTGACAGAAGTGGCATTCCATGCAATGCTTGCAGGCCAGGTTAACTTAAGTTGAATAAGGAAAAGTTATGTTACATGTGTATGAGTGTTCAAAACTAAATTTTGAAAATTTGAATGAAGTGGTATTGCTTGTAAATTCAAGTGTCATGCATAATGTACAGGAAATAAAAAATTAAATTTAAGTATCATAAACTTACCTAGGTTTATTGATGGAGCTTCAGTGTAAGATAGAGAGGGACAGAGAGAAAGGGAGACACATGGAGGTGGGAAGGAGGAACTGAGGGAGGGAGAGAGAGAGAATTATGATTACATTTGTATAAATCTGACAATATATACATGTACATAACATTGTGAACTTGTGTGTCTTAAGGAGAGTTGGAGGCATGATTATGAAAGTACATGTACATTCATTTATGGAGTTTGAATAAAATTAATAGTGAAGGTTTGCATATAAAAGTTTGAAAAAGAGTGGGTGTTGTAGAAAAATTACCAGTAGTGGCAAAAATGGCTAGTACATGTACTATGTAACTGAAGTAGCAAGTGTAGTTTGTTCGTGTGTATACTTAAACTGAGTGAAGAAACATGGACTCTTCAAATGCACTACATGTACAAGAATATAAACATGACACATGTCATGCAGATACCATATGAAAACTGCATTTTTACATAACCGGTTAACCTAAAACCAATTGGCAGCTCTAAACTACATGAGCATGTACATGTATTAAAGGTTTTACCATATAGTGAGACGATTTGGAGGGGGTTAAATTTGTTTTTTTGCTAAATTTTGGTGGCTGGCAGATTTTTGTTTTGGCGTATGGCTATGAAAATGCCAAATTTAATTCCCTCCAAATTTTCAAAATAATCAATGCAACATTGATTAAAAATTGCTTGTAATTATGTAATTAAATCTACTTTAAAAGGTACACACTATCGTACTTGAACTTATACTTAAGTACTATTATTAAAAGCATGTAAATGTACTTATACACATATTTTGTAAATATACTTGGACTTTACTTCAGCACTAAGGGCTTTTTATTAAATAAACACCAAACATTGAAGGATACAAAATGTAGAATAAAAGAAGCAAGCAAGCAGTTTACCGTACACATACCTGTAGTATAGTTGTAGAAACAGTCACAGGCTTTAAGCTTTATCCATATGCTGCTGCTGGACAGGAGTACAATCTTATTTTGCTGGCAATAAGCTCCTGACTCCTTGTTTCATATCCACCATTTTATTTCACTGTGGCAATACCTCCTAATTAATAAGCATTATAAATAATGAATATTTTTGCCCTAATAAAGATCCCTTGCTAAGGCCACTCCAATCATAGTACCAATGGGCAGGCAGGTTTGTTTATTACCATTATTAATTTATTTAATATCACTTGTATAAACTATGTGAATGACCAACTGCAATATACTATAGGTTGGGATATATTCGTGGCTGCTATTGAAGCTGCTTTAACCAGTTCTTTTAAAAACTACTTTACTTGCCGTATCTTGGAACTCTACACCCATTTCAGTTAGTGTTTACTGGCTTGGGTGTAGTGTTTATATCATGGCCAGTTGACCAGCAAAAATTTACAGCAAGGAGCTTTAAGGCAGAGGTTAATACAAGAAGGTAACAGAAACAGAACAAGTGGCTATTGCTCCACTAAAGCTGCTAAAGAATAGGAAATTAACTGGACTGTAAACACGTAGTCTTGCTGTCATAGCAATGCTCTATCAAATTCCATGGTAATTAATTACACTTTTATAATTGAGAATATTGTAAATATTACGTAAAGTACAACAAATAGTGATGGGGGACCATGTGGGAATAAAATGGCAAAGCAAATCTATTTGCAGTGGCTTAAATATAGTACATGTTTGTAGTAGGGCATGGTCCACACAAGCCACTCTCTAAGCTAACCCACATGACTGCACATGGGCATAAATAATAGAGTCAATCCATGGCATGAAGCCCCCACCTTTAACATATAGACCAGTTGGTGCTAAGTATAATAGTATATTCATAGAATTTTAAGTATATTCATTGTGATGCCGTAAATAAGTAAAATTTTCCTACCGCCATTTTGGAGTCCTACTTCCAATGGTTGTCTATGGAGCGATCGTGAAAAGAGCTTATTCTCCAAAACTGCTGTATTTATTCGTTAAAGCAATATTGCTACTGCTTACTGACCATCATCCAGCATCTAGAGTTGGCTCATGGACTTTAATAAGTGCCACTAGAAGATATAGAAGCAAAGATATGACTTTCTCCCATTCTACTCTTAGTAACTAAGACTCCAAAATGGCGGCAGGAAAATTTTACTTTATTTACGGTATCACAATGAATATACTTAAAGTTCTATGAATATACTTAGCGCCAACTGGTCTATACATACAATGCTTTACTCAAAGTATAAAACCAACAATTTACTCTATATACTTACCTTATTTGAAGAGATTCAAGTAAAATGAAGTACACGAATTATAAACACAGAACTCAGTGCAGTGGATACTCAACTAAGGCCCTAAAATCGAATAAAATTATTGACGTTTATTTAGAATAATTTCTCTTACTTGAAGCGATTGGTGTCAGTAGATAGCCGTGTCTTTAGGCACGCACATCACCTTACTCTCATCACAGATCAATCAGTAATTGTAAAAGGCTCTGGCATGTCTGGGTTAGGGACTATCCAGCCTCAGCCTCCCGCAACTCTCCATTAAAATACTTAGCTTTCTGAGCATGCGCAGTTGGGTGAAATAAAATGGCATCCAACCACTTGGTGCAGTCCATGTGTGCTTGAAAATAACGAGAGAAATCATTTTCTAGAATTACAATGCCAAGCCACACTGCACTAGCGTCCCTGAAATGCAGCACAATAGTGCAAAAATCATAGTTTTAGGATAAAAACTCTAGGACTAGTTCTTACTTAACTGTGGAAGAAGAACAAACCTGAACATTTGGTGCATGCAGGCATGCATGCATTCATTTGCCGTATAACTATCTTATGAAAGTTTTTTACTACTTTTTATAACACTGAACTGTTTTGATGAAATTATAAAGGACATCTGGACTGTCAGATAAGCCACAAAAAAATTCTAAAGATATTACAGGGGCTCAATGCTTCTGGGATGGCAGCCATTTTGGGGGCGCGCTCGTCCAACTCAACCCTACATACCAAGCGCTAGCGCTTGGTAATAATAATTAATTAATCACTTTACTGGCTTTACAATGGCGGGTGGTGAAGAATACTCTTTTAACAGTCTGGTTCGTGGCCACAATGCTTATAAAAAGTTTCTGGACTCCTACTGCTTGAACTCCTACTGTTTTGTACTGCGCTTAACAAACCCATGCTAAGAGCTATAATGAGCTAGGCACCTAATAAGAACCAGGCGCTTAACAACGAAGGGCGCTTAATAACCTGTTAGTATGGTATACACTATTAATATACTCATACATGTACTACTACATGTACATGTATATGTGAATGAGGCATTAAAAAATAGGACTTCTTGTAAAATTTTTAAAGTTGCTCTGAAAATTTTGTCAAAAATTAAAAAGGGAGAATTCTTCATTTTAATAATTTCTTCTTCATGTTCTTATCTTATGCATAAAGTTTGAACTGATTTTGAGCAAAATTGAATTTTTTAAAAAAATTTACAAAAGTTGCT